TACAGAGGAGAGCGTGATGCTCTGCCCGCGTTTTTGACAAACTGTCAAAATGCCTTAGAGCTGGCCACAACAATACAAAAAGGCCTCCTACTAAAATACATTATATCTCGTCTAGAAGGCAAAGCACAAATAGCCTGTTCAAACAGAGTTTTTGACGACTTCAAAGACCTTAAGTCCTTCTTGAAGCAAAACTTTGGTGAAACCAAACATTATAATCACTTATTGTTGCAACTCCAATCATGTTAACAACAAACAAGTGAATCCGTAGCCCAGTACTCCCTGAGAGTTGAAAAGTGTTTGACTGACCTCCAGTCCGAGATCCACAACTCCGATTCCTTCAAAAAGGACCTTCCGGGTAGGTTAGCCATGACGGAAGATCTAGCTTTATACACCTTTTCTTTAGGGTTAAAACCGACCCTTAGCACCTTTGTCCGGTCTCAGTGCCCCAAAACCCTTAACGGGGCTGTCAATATCGCTATGGAAGAAGAAAAGATACAAAACTTGCAATCGAAGAGTAATGCAGCTTTTACTTCTAAATCTTGTAAATTTTGTAACAAAAGCGGACACACAGAATCCGAATGTTATCACAAAAATAAGCCGACAAAACCTACTATATTTCCATCTACCTCACGAAGCCCGGCTGCCCCACCTATCATATGCCGATATTGTAAAAATATTGGCCACGACATTTCCCAATGTCGAAAACGACAGTTTAATAACGCTCGTAACTTTAACAATAACAGCAACGCCAGGCCGTCAACATACCACCAACAAAAGTACCTGGACTACGCTCCGATTACACATTGTAACGAGAATAACGATGATTCCCACGACGACGACGGTGAGAACACAAAAAACTAAGTAAGCGTTTTCCGTATATGTGCCGACGGAAACACGATGCACAAGGCACAGTTACTAAGTCCTTTTATGCTAAATCAAACGATTCCAAGTCACTTACTTACTCGGCAGTGCTAAAAAATAACTGTCAAAATCAAAATGTCACTGGTTCCACTGTATCCACTGTTCCCACTAACTCCACCGCATCCAATACTAAATCCTCTGTATCTTATGCCAAATCCACTGTGTCTATTACCAAACCCACTGTGTCTAATGCTAAATCCACTGTCTCTGCTAGCCCCACTGAATCTGATGCCAATCCCGCCGTCTCTACTAGCCGTATAGAACATTTGCCCAAACTTAATGCTAACAATACGCAACTCACTCAATCCGCTGACTCTTCTAAGTTAAGCCGAAAATCCACTGCCTCCAACAAAAAACCTATAAATTCCAAGTCCAATGATAATGACGTTCTAAATCATAACAACACGACCACCCCAAGCAAAACCGAGTTAAACGATTATTTTCTAGTTGAGTCCGAAACATATTCTACCATTTTCGACGTCTCACAAAGCTCCAAATCCCCTCTCCCGCATATTGAGGTTGAAGTGTCTCACGCTGATAACCCAATTCGCCTGTTAATTGACACTGGCAGCTCTATCTGCATCATTAAAAAATCTAGCCTTGCTAAATGCCCCGAGCTCGAAAAACACATTATAAAATTCAAAGGGATTAACGACGTAGATTCGTATGCCGAGACGAAAGGAAAGTTCATTCTAGTCTTAAAAACAATGAATGATACTTCAATTCCCTTCTATTTCCACGTAGTAGAAGACGTAAATTTAGACTACGACGGAATACTCGGATCAGACTTTCTTTCAGCTCATAAAGCCTCAATTCAATACTCCAAACTACGTGTTACGATTAACAATAACCCTAACGAATACTTTGAACTAATAACCCCTAAATTAAATTTTGTCATTCCCCCTAGATGCGAAATGCTCATTGAATGTGCTGTGACTAATCCCGAGATAAAAGAAGGCATCATTTTAAAGACTAAATTAGAAAATTATCCAAAATTGTTATTTTCTAAATGTCTAGTTCAAGTAAAATCAAACAATAAGGTCAATATGTCAGTTTTAAATACTTCCGAAAACGAAGTAACGCTGACTGATGTTAAGTTCACCATAGAGCCAGTCTCGTTCATTTTAGAAAACAAACTAGTTCCCTCTGATTCCACTGAACCCTACGAATACGTTAATACTAATTTCAACCACACTCGTGGTCAATCAAACCGTGAAACCCGAGTCCAAAATGCTATTCGATGCGAACATTTAAATAATGAAGAAGAACCACTACTCCGAAATTTATGTAACCAGTTCCAAGACATCTTTTTTCTAGAAGGAGACCACCTCACAAGTACTAAAACTTTATGTCACGAAATCCGAACGACTTCCGAAAACCCTATCCATGTAAAAAGTTACCGCTTCCCCGAGTGTCACAAAGAAGAAGTAGACCGCCAAATCAAAAACATGCTCGACCAAAAAATAATTCGTCCTTCGAAGTCCCCGTGGTCGGCACCTATATGGGTAGTTCCAAAAAAGGTAGACGCCTCAGGCAAACCTAAGTGGCGTATAGTTATAGACTATCGCCGCCTTAACGACATCACTATAGGTGACGCCTACCCTATTCCAATAATCACGGACATCCTAGACCAATTAGGCCACAGTAAATACTTCTCTACCCTTGACCTAGCGTCATCATTTCACCAAATCGAAATGAAAACTGAAACCGACGCTGAAAAAACAGCCTTTAATGTCCCTTCAGGGCACTATGAGTTCAATAGAATGCCCTTCGGTTTAAAAAACTCACCTTCAACCTTTCAAAGATTAATAAATGTTGTTTTATCCGGTCTCCAGGGTCTTCACTGTTTTACTTACATGGACGATATAGTCGCTTTCAGTCACGACCTTCATTCACATATCGAAAAACTCACCTTGATATTTTCAAAACTCCGAGAACACAATCTCAAACTTCAACCGGATAAGTGCGAGTTTCTCCGCAGAGAAGTTCAGTACCTAGGACATGTCATCTCTGATAAAGGCGTGAAACCGGATCCTAAAAAGATAGAATGCGTAATCAGATTCCCAACGCCTAACTGCCCAAAAGATATAAAATCATTTCTAGGCCTTGTAGGGTATTACAGACGTTTCATCCCCAACTTTTCCCATTTATCTAAACCACTTACTACCCTTCTAAAAAAAGATACAAAATTTCACTGGGATAAACCCCAACAAGAAGCCTTCGAAACATTGAAAAACCTAATTACTACCGCACCGATCTTGCAATATCCCGACTTCACAAAACCTTTTGTTCTAACCACTGACGCCTCAAATTACGCTGTATCTGCCATTCTTTCCCAGGGCGAAATAGGTAAAGATCTGCCAATCGCCTTTGCTTCCCGCACGCTCAATAAGGCCGAGGGAAATTACTCCACGACCGAAAAAGAATGTTTAGCCATACTATTCGGCACTAAAGTATTTAGACCATATCTTTACGGCCATAAATTCACTATCGTCACAGACCACAAACCTCTTCAGTGGTTATTTAACTGCAAAGACCCCAGTTCTCGACTTGTCCGCTGGAGGTTAAAACTCGAAGATTACGATTACCTTATACAATATAAAAAAGGAAAAATGAATTGCAACGCCGACTCATTATCTCGAAACCCAATCCAGGCGATCGATGAAAGTACCGACCAGCCAACCACAACAGACACCTACGACAAATATTTACAAACAAGTCGACAAACCAACGTAGTATATGACACTGTTATCAAAGAACACTACGAATCCCTCCTTAGATCTAAATGTAAACTAATAGTATACCCGTCAGCCATTGATTTAGACGATTCTGTACCTTACTGCTCTGAGATAATACAACTATCAAGTAGTAGCCCTGATATCCGTACCATCGAAAGAGAGCTTAACACCTTTTACTCCACTAGTAATGATAAACAAGTTTTCACTCACCTTTTCCTTAGAGTCCATCATTACGACGAAATGTCATATAAAGACATATTTAACATGCTTCGGGATTACAGAGACCTATGGTTAAAATTTTGGTACCAAGACGAAAAGGAATTCGCCATTTCCGATTTTAAAGACCCATTTAATAAGTTATCATACACAAAAATCTATAACATGATCGCGTACATATTTCATAACACCGGTATCAAAGTCAACATATATCGCAACAGTATCCTATTTCCTACTCCGAACGAAGTGCAAAAGATTTTAAGGGACAATCATGACTCACCATCAGCCGGTCACCCGGGAACTAATCGCATGCTAAATAGGCTTAAATCCATGTACTGGTGGAAAAATATGCGTCAAGACATAGAAAACTATGTCAAGAATTGCAAGTCCTGCCAGGTTAACAAACCTTTACGCCAAACCAACCGATCCCCAATGATAATTACATCTACAGCTGTCAGACCAAACGAAAAACTATTTTTGGACCTTGTCGGTCCTCTTCCCGAAACAAATATAAATAAGTATAAATTCATTCTCACCTTACAGGACGATCTCACAAAATATTCCCAAGCTTACCCTATGCAATCATGCTCCGCAGATGAAACCGCTCAACGTCTCGTTCACTTTATTTCTCATATAGGAATCCCGAAACTTATTGTCACTGACCAAGGAACTAACTTTTGTTCTGATGTATTCAAACAGCTGGAAAGACTCTTTGGAATAAAACATATCTTCGCTTCCCCATACCATCCTCAGACTTGTGGCGCCCTTGAAAGGAGCCATTCCACCCTTAAGGAGTACTTAAGGTCTTACGTGGAAGAGAATAACTTCACCTGGGACTTGTATGTCAATACCGCTATGTTCGCCTATAACTCTAATGTTCACAGTACCACAGGTTACTCACCTTTCGAACTGTTATTCGGATATAAACCCTATATCCCTCACAGCATCGATAACCTGGAAAATAATACTTACACCGACTATATCCGGGCCCTGAATCATCGTCTATACTATAGCAGACAAAAAGCTCTACAAAACATAAACAGATCTAAAGAAAAGTCAAAACAATACTACGATTCCCACACTAAACCCATTAGCTATAGAGTAGGCGATATGGTTTATGTACGACATCATCACAAACAAAATAAAGCGTTGTCCCCAATATGGAAAGGCCCTTTTAAAGTATTAAAATTAAACGGAAACCACACTCTGACCCTGTTAATAAATCGGAAACATATACGTCACCATTACGATGAAGTTAAACCCGCACGTTAGACCTATCTCTTATCTTTGTTACAGGAACTTGATATGCTTAGCGCGTGGCCGCTTTGTAACATCAATTAAAGGCAGTTCCGGATTGTATTTCGATAAACTCTTAGATCTTAAGTTTACGAATGATAAATGGAATATCGTTACTTTTCTTGACATAGGTCACATCCAAATCCATTTAGACAAAGTCGAAATATTATTTACTAAACTTGAAACCTTCTGCAACAGCCATAGCTCTTCCAAAATACAGCAAGACTGTATCAATGCGTTCGTTTCGTTACGAAACCAACATTCAACAAATCTCAAGAAGTTTTCATCTATTTCGTACCTAATTTCTAACTCGAAAACGAGTCGAGTGAAACGCGGCCTAATAAACGCAGGTGGCAACTTGTTAAAAACGTTCTTCGGAACCTTAGATTCCGATGACGCTGTCAAGTTCACAAGTGCTATCAATCAGGTACAGGCAGGCGAAAAAACACTCGCAAAGCTTATGAAAGATAACATTCATATTCTCAAGTCCACTATTACGAATTTTAATTCTACAATTAATAAGGTTAATTATAATGAAAAACTTTTAAATAATAATTTTAAAATACTTAATGAAACTCTGGGCTACCTAATAAATAGCAACGATAAGATAGAAATTAAAGCCAAACTGAACTTATTACTTAATGAAATCGAAAGCATAGTAATGTCTCTCTCCTTCGATATCGATGATATCAATAACATAATTTTATTTAGCAAAGTTAATATATTGCATCCGACTGTACTCAGCCCGTATCAACTTTTCTCGGAACTAGAGCAAAACAAACACTTCCTACCTAAACACTGCGAATTACCCCTAACTCTAACTATAAATAATGTTCACGATTTAATTGAAATATCTGATATTCTTTCCTTTTATTATATCAGTAAATTAGTTGTAGTTCTTAAAATCCCGTTAGTTATCCCACAGATATATGATTTATATCATACTATTTCTATACCAGCCGCCTACGACGTCTCGAAACCTGATACCTTTGTACTTATCGCTCCCAGTAAACAGTACTTGGCAATAACGAATGATAGGATGTTTTACTCATTAATAGAAAGTGTGGAAAAGTGCAAAGTTGTGTCAAATCAGTGTTACGTGTGTGAATTAACAAGCGTTTTCTCGACGATCGCGAATCCTACGTGTGAGACTGTACTGATAACTGAAGTAGTAAATAAGTTACCTAGTTTATGTCAAGTTAGATTAGTTCAAGGTCATATTGATGTTTTTCAGAAACTTACAAATAACAGATGGATTTTTGTTCAATCGGAACCCGGTAAAGGTCATTTCTCTTGTGAAAATGAACATAACAAATATGACGAAATCTTATTTGGAACCGGAGTTATGTTTTTACCTAAAGGATGTAAAGTGTTCTACAAAGCCCTTCAGTTTAGAGCTAGCCAAACAATTGAAACCAATGTAACAAACTTTATTTCTAATTTTAATTTAACCGAAGACGATTGTTGTGACAAAGAACGGTTAAATAAAACTCTGTTGCGGTTACCATTTGCCAAACTGTCCAATATTAATGATTTCGAGCAGCTTTTACAAGCGAGTATTCATTTAGATGATTTTGAGAATGAACTAAATAAATTAGATCTTGAACCTTCCCACTTAGAAAAATATAGTACGCATTATCTGTCTCTGACATATATAGTATCCATTTTAATATCACTATTCATGTTGTATAAAGCAAGAAAATTTGTATGTAATAAAGGCACATCTGACTATTGCATTCAAATATTTAATCAATGCCACAATAAGAATTCTAAAGAATACCGCAATAAGAAGACAACTATTTCAATCAAGGACACAAGTCCCGAAATTTCAGAAGATGAAATTAATACTAATTCTTCTAAATCCTTGCCAACGCCATCAAGGCGTAACTTTGTTTAGATTTTGCTATAATTATAATCATACATACTTAAAATTATACTTAAAATTATACTTAAAATTATACTTAAAATTATACTTAAAATTATGCTTAAATTCATACTTAAATATATAATCTAAAAAATTAAGTCTAGAGTCCTGTGAGCCGAAGCAAATCTCATCTCAGACGATCTCCCAATGTAGACGATTTCCCATCACGTGTTTTGGTGATGCTCAATTCAAAAGGGGGAGGTGTTATATATGCATATGTACAGGCGATGTATGTGAGTATTTACGCCATTGCAGTGCATTTGCACGTGGATGGTGTCAATGCCTACGACAGCGTTTTTGCATACATGTAATTTCATTTCCCTCGTGAGGCAGTCAGTCTGATTTGAGCTTTGTGACGGACGGTTCGTTTTCTTGTAACGTTTTATTCAATTAAAATTATTTGTGTAAACCAAAAAAACTATTTTTTAAAAAGTGTCCTGAGACCCACCCCGTAACAGAACATCCACTTTACACTTCCAATATTTTTTCTATCCATTAACAAACTAGAGATTTTATGTCTCTCGCTGATATTACGGATGCCTCAGTTCTTTAAATATTCCGTATTATAGCATCAATATTCTCAACAAGATCTATTAAAAAAAAATCAAGTGACAATAGTGATCGTTATTTGTTTTTTTTGCACACACACACACACACACATAGCCTCGCACTAGGAAAATCCTGTATCGCGGGTGCTATGCACACACATATCGACGACCACAAATTACATCCAAATTCACGAGAGAAAGAAATGTAGGTCATACATATATTTCTCCCGACTAGGGAATCAAACCCGCTGCCTCTGCGTGGCAGTCTAACATGGTAACCGTTAGACTACAGAGCCAGTTAAAAACTTGTTGCAAACTAAGTTAGATCCAAGTAATCCTCAAATAAAGCCTTACTTAAAAAATTAAGCTAAAGTTGATTGAAGTTCCCAAATATTGAAAACTACAACTAACACAGCTTAAGTTAGAGCAAGAACTCCCTTTATACCCTTTTCAACACAAGTCAATATACCACAGATCAATTACAGAGCAAACACAAAATAAGCAAATAGGTTTCTGCTTCTTCCTTTTTCGAACTAAGTCTTTTCAGTCGACCTATTTCCAGTAAAAAATATTTAAGACTTCACACAAACATAAAACTTTACGTTGCCTTCAATTTCGAAATAAGAGAAACACCTCAAGACCTGAAGTAGTTCGAAATATACCAACAATCGTAATACTAGAGAACGTACATAAATACATACGTTTGTATCCCGATGGAGAGATGAGCAGTAACCATATAGGTTTACGATCGAGTCGAATCAGCCGGTATCGATTTTATTCATATCGAGTTGCTAGAGTCGGGGTTAGATACAGAGAAATCCGTAAAATCGCAACTGAAAATTCAAACCGACAGTATACCTTTCATAACACGTGAAAGTAGTAGGACATTGAACGTGACAAATTAAGTGACTTTAATTATGGTGAGATAAGTAACAACAAAGCTCTTTGTGAATGAATTCGTCCGGGAAGCAATGCCACCATACGTATTTCTGCTACAAAGCAGTAATGTGAACGTTACTTTTTTTCTTACATCTGATGGGAAGTGATGATGAAGTCGACGATGGAGCATGCACACCAAAATAATGTCTGATCAGGGAACAAATCTGCAGGCAGGGAATTCCACTCCATAGCCGTTCACCATTTAAATGTGGAAGCGAAGCGCGAAGCGAAGAAAGGCGAAATTAATTCATGCAATTCCCTCGCACATTCTCCGTGATATATCCTGTAGAATACCTATAAGCAGGCAACTTTACGACGACGTTCCAGTGAATCCAAGGCGGCCACTTGGTATTTAGCAGAACCATCCCATTCATCAGAAGAATACTGGTCAAACTTCATTAACTTTTTTTTAAATAAATGGTCTCGATCTCGACCACTGCCTTGACTTGACTTGACTTGACCCCTGGCGCAAAAATAGGATCTACGATGGAATGAACTCGCTCAAAGATGCCTTTTCAGTCGCACAGTAGGTACCACAAGGGATATGTCAACTTTATGTCCTTGGGTGACAAGTGCCGGTAACAATGTTAATCAGATCTTTGCAATTAAAGCTCCGCGTAGCAATGCAACTACTATCACCAGGCGTAATACTTGTTCATCCCGTTACTTGATATCTTAAAGAAAGGTTACATTGTACAGTCCAACGTACGAGTATTTTTGGTTGAACATGTCACACCTTGAACTTGTAGCTCTTGTGAACTTTGTGCTAAATTCATGTACAAAAAAGGAAGACATAATAATATAACAATGAGAGCAAAATGTTACAAGTTAATCAGGAAAGGGCGATATACGAAGATTATCATCTTCAAAGTATACTTACCAATAGTCATAAGGCTAAGAAACTGATTAATGCGTTTGCTTTCCTTTATCAAGTATAATGAAAGGTTATCTTTGGCGTCTATTGTGTAATATTTCCTAATGTAACTTCCGTACATTTAAATATTTTTATTGTTTGTTATAGATTCAACATTAGGAGGTAACCGGCATCAACAGAAGCCGAACGCGGTAAAATTTTGTGTGATTCGAGTGGGGTAATTATGGCACTATTGTACAGATAAATAAAAAAAATAAAAGCAGCTTTATTTGACTAGTAGAATCAGATAAACCACAAACAATTACAGAAAATTACATAATAATAGAAACACGAAGTAGAAACCAAAACAGTAAGTCATTGTAATAATAACGAAACAAATGAAACAAGGCACGTGAAAAGGTTCTATGAGTCGGCATTTAAAGACTGCGGATACACAGCTCTCGCTGTAATAGCATGCATAGCATGTAATACAATTGTACACAATAAAACAGAATTCGTGTGTTTTTTTAAAGTAACATCTAAACGGCAAACACTCGTAAAGATCATCTGGTGGACTGAGCAACCACTTATAGACATCTAAAGGGTACTCTTCATTTGGGAAATTTCCTGTGATTGCGCTGGCACTCTCCACACTTTAATCAAGAAATGGGACAAAGGAGGTACCTAACTAGAGTGATTTCCGCGTTGACGGCGAAAACTTTTACCACCACCACCATTATCATCGTCCACAGTCTAACTTTATCCACTTCTGGGTGTAGACCTCCCGTAGTTTGTACCATCCACCTTGATCTTGCGTTATTCTCATCCAGCTACGACCCGCGACTTAGTCTTTGACCCTACCATCAGTGAAATTCTAACAAAACACATTGTAACATCGTATATTCGAGCATCATCTAGGTGAGCACGTACCTTCGTAGACCTTATCTTTGCTTCTGAACTAGATATCGTAAAGATTAAGTATTGAAATATATTATCCATTATAATAACCCTTAACGACAATATAATCGATTAATTAAATAATTATAAAAGTTGTCAAAGATATTAGGCAGAGAACACTAAACCGAGAATGACTGATTTATATTAATAGCAAGTTGGTAAAGGCCGACCAAGATTAACTTACCATGATCGAATGGAGCAATGAACTTACCATGGTCCTAAGGAAAGGCTAAGTTAAGATCGCCCTCATCCGACGAGCATGTATGAAAGCATTGATGAGGCGAAAGATGTGTTTCAGGATCATAGCCAGTGGAAGGCTGTTGTCTTTGATGAGAAAGGGGCGTAAAATGTATACTAAACCGAAAATGACCCAAATAATGTCCAAACTCTTACAACAATTTTTACATGATGGATCATAATCAAACAAAAAGAAAATTAAGATTGCTTGAGATTTTTTTTTCTTTATGTCACGTAGGAGGTAAACGACTAGATGAGCGACTTGATGGGAGGTGGTTAACGTTACTAGAGGAGCTGTCTATGCGTTAATCTCTTATCCTCTTAGATTGCGTACAGATTTGGTGAATAACTACCCAAAAAATACCCCAGTTTGTGAAAGGCTCGAAAGCTGCACACGTGCTTTGCGTAGTGCGGTCTGTTCGTTATCCATAAACTTGCTACAACAGGAGAATCTATGCGTTGCCAGTACTTAAGACACCTATTTACTCTATTAGAGTGCGTACAGAACTGGCGAATGCGCCGCGAATGTGATCATAGGGGTGAAAACGCGGTTCTGGCGCTAGTGCATGTCCTATTGATGTAATGTTGTAGGGAGAGTGTAATAGCCTCCGCAGCCTCCATACTCTTGCTTAGCGGGTTTAAAGTTCAAAATTCAAAAGGGTAAAGAAATAGTGGTAATAAATCCAATTTTATAAATATTATTCCCGTTTTATTAATATTTGTGATCTTTAAAATGTATATTGCACAAGAGATTTTTGGTAATTGGAAAACAGTTCAAAACATTAACGAGAAGACGTATTCGCTGCCGCAATTGGGCAGGGAGAGGCGATGGAACGAAACAAAATCAGAATGGCGAGGCAAAGGAATTATTAAAGAACGATTCAAAATTTCAAAATGACTGACCAGGAACCAGAGAAACGGCGATAAAAAGGTGGGATGACGATGTAAAGAGCTCACATCGTCACAGGGGCGCACGCTAACACTACACATGTATCAGTAGATTTGTAGTAGACCTTTAAACATAACTGCTTAGCAATACGCCTGTAGTTCAATCAAATATTGGAGCTCGTATTAAAATTAAAAAACTTTCAGATTATTTTCAACTCTAGTTAACTTCCCTCCGTGAACAGCCCTCGGAAGCCTCTAGGATTTATGCTGACGTCCGCTGTATATAGTTTTGTTTGCTTTCGCAGATGCGGAGTTAATGCCTTTGACCTCAAAGGTTTACTGTTGGCAATGCTATAACTGCTGTTTAAGCTGCTCTGTAAACCGTTTTAGATAATTATAATAATGTGCTTGACGACTACACCAACTGATTTCAATTTAGTCCTCTGTACTATCTGTACCAGAGCAATTAAATTAGCTTCGGGGTATCCCACATAATCCAGACCAGAACCAATTCAAAAAGTTGATTTCCCCAATCGTCTTGGGACTTGTTTATCTAGCGCTCGCGTTTCTACCCCTTGTCACCGAGATCGTTAAATGTCA